GGATTAGGTTTAGGGTTAGGTTTAGGATTAGGTTTAGGGTTAGGTTTAGGATTAGGTTTAGGGTTAGGGTTAGGGTTAGGGTTAGGTTAAGAGCGCGCTTTTGTTGGCGCGCTTTTGTTGGCGCGCTTCTGCGCTCATTCGTCGGTGTGATTTTGAACTCGCGGTTTTCTCACCGCGGTTTCGTCAGCGCGCTTTTGTCGAGCGCGCATTTGTCAGTGAACCAAAATTTCTGAAGCCCACCCCTGCCCCAAAGGCGCTTTTCCAAAAAGCAACTGGACTTCCTTGATTTTTTTTTCTTTGCAAATGTTTCGCTTCTTATCCAAGAACGGAAGAACGGAAGTCAGAATGGAAGAAGCTTTTTGAGCGAGAAGCAAAACATTTTCAAAGGAAAAAAAAAACAAGAAAGCCCAGTTGCTTTTTGGCAAATTTTAGCTTCCCTCCCCTTTCCCCCGCTCCATTCAGTTGTGTCCTATTCTCAGAAACTGCCTGCAAGGTTTTTCAGAAATGGTTTGCCATTGTCTCTTTCCTGGGGCTGAGAGAAAGTGGTGGGCCGGAGGTCACTCGGCTGGCTTTCTCCATACGGCGAGACCAGATCTCCTAATTTCTAGCCTGATGCATTCACCAATCTTATAACCTACATTCTACCAGCCGTTGAAGTTTCCGAACAGCATTCAAGGGCAGCCCATGCAGAGCATATGTTTGTAGTAGTCTAAGCTGGAGGTTACAAGGGCATTAGCACAAAGTTGCATTGGCCCAAAGTGGTGCAGAGGAAGGGGGGGCTGTCTTTTTGGGAGCCAAGGAGCAGCAGATCGGGCCTCATAGTGAGATGGGCAGCATGTAAATGTAATAACTAATTAAATACTAAATCTTCAGTGGGGTAGCTTATTCCCAATTCTGGGTTTCTTGTAGACTTAAAAATAATCGGCTGTTTTAACAGGCAACAAGTCTTTGATACGTTAATGTAGAAATCTCATTAGGTGCCTGCTGATCTATTGACCTAATCTATGGATATTGAATCACTAACGTCTTGGTGTTTTTAGTAAAATAAAATAAAAATCAAAAACCGGATGCCATTTTTTTCCCCTAAGACATTCATTTTTTTTAAAAAAAGTCTTCTGTAAAGATCCTGTAACACGTATGCCACAAGGGATTGGATAGCGCAATTTAAAAATCTAAATGCATCCCGTAATTGACAAGGTGATAAAATGTGGTTAAGACATTTCCTGAATACAGAGCAATAGCAAATAATATTTTTATCAACCGGATAAACAAATGCAATTTGGTTACAGCTTTCTCTGAAGCTTGTGCAAAGATAAAAGTGAAGTTTGAGAATTATTTCTGTGTTGTGGTGAAAGAGCTAACCTAGATTGGGAGTTCTAGTTCCTCCATAGACACGAAAGCTGGCTGGGTGACTTTGAACCAATCACTGGGTGATGGTGAGTTCTAGTCCTGACTTAGCCATGAAAGCTGGCTGGGTGACTTTGAGCCAATCACTGGGTGATGGTGAGTTCTAGTCCTGACTTAGACATGAAAGCTGGCTGGGTAACTTTGAGCCAATCACTGGGTGATGGTGAGTTCTAGTCCTGACTTAGACGTGAAAGCTGGCTGGGTGACTTTGAGCCAATCACCGGGTGATGGTGAGTTCTAGTCCTGACTTAGACATGAAAGCTGGCTGGGTGACTTTGAGCCAATCACAGGGTGATGATGAGTTCTAGTCCTGACTTAGACATGAAAGCTGGCTGGATGACTTTGAGCCAATCACCGGGTGATGGTGAGTTCTAGTCCTGACATAGACATGTAAACCGAGTGGGTAGCCTTGAGTTAAACACTAGATGATGGTGAGTTCTAGTCCTGACTTAGACATGAAAGCTGGCTGGGTGACTTTGAGCCAATCACAGGGTGATGATGAGTTCTAGTCCTGACTTTGATATGAAAACCAAGTGGGTGCCCTTGAGCTAAACACCAGATGATGATGATGAGTTCTAGT